TGTGGTTTGATAGATGAGAAACGGTTCTGTTACCAATTACTTAACTGGCTGTGTGATTCTACATACACATCATCTTCTTACATTTTATTGTATAAACTTCCCTCTCACTGCTTAAATTCATATTCATGACATGCATTACCTCCATTTTAGCACATTTCTGATATATTGAAAAAACAATTGATTATTGTAATCTAAAGGTCATAATTTGTAGGTGAACAATTGTCTTTAAAATACTTTTATATATATGCAGGGGGAAGCACATCATACAGGAGATGAGGCAAATGCTTAAAAGCTTAAAAGAAGCTAGACAACAGTGTTATGCTTGAAGCTGTTTATGAGGTGAACGGACACTTCCACACTGCAGGTGTAACATTAATATGAAGACACTGGTCTCAGGTGGAGGTTTGAGTCTTTAGATTTGAGCTACCACTTGACTTTTAACCCTGACCAAAGCATGTAGGTGTCAGGTGTAGGGCCCATATATACTTGCTTTATAGTTCTGGTTTATACATTTCTTACCATAGAGAGGAAAGAGAAACACTGACTTTTTGAAGTGATTTTTACACCTTTATCTAGTTTGACTTTACAAATGTTTACTCTCATACTGTAAATATAGCCTCACTATCTTTACGATAAACTTGGAAAGCCTTTGAGTTTGTCATGTTGCGCGCTGATCCTAATCCGCACTCCTCTGCTGATAGCTGTGTGGAAATCTGAAATCATATCACTCAGCTCCTTAATTACACTGCATTAAGCCCTCCTGTCCCAGCGGCAATAGGGATCGCAACCGGGACGTTCTTCTTTGCTCGCGTTATCATCGTCACAATCTCCCTGTCTCTCTGATAGCGGCATTTTGCCTCCTCCACAGTGGGGAAAACACATGACAGATCTGCTAGATAAAACCGCCACCCTCACCCCAGTGCTGCTACACTAATGGTTTATAAATATCTCCTTCAAAGACCCGTGGAGGTGCGAGGGTGGTGGGCGCTGTCGTGGTGTAGCATTGCAGACCCATTTAAGCACTGCAATTCTAATGCCACTCTCCCCATTGAGTGCACGGGACAGGGGTGAGAGAAAGGGGACTTGTGATGGACAGCTGGTTCAAGTTAGCAAGCAGTGGCTACTCATAATTCCATAATGCTAAGCAACCTAATGGCCTATTCAAATGGAGTTTACGAACAACTGCCCACTGCGCTAACCCTCTTAATGGCACAATGGGGTCCTTGTTTGCGCGTACACAGCTACAGGTTGTGTGGAGTTTGCTAATGACCAATAGAAATGCATTGATTGTAGCTTGAGTGCAGTTTTTCCAGCTCAAAGGGCGCTGTGGTTAAATGTGTTGGATGTCCAAGCTGTAAAACAGACACGAGAGGTATTTAACCCTACACAAACATGCATACCTCTGTAAGTGTGAATACATAATCACGTACACAAACAATCTCTGTAGGACAAACTGCAAATACTAAAATGGTCTGCAAGTTCATTCAGGCACCTTTACATATATGAAAATGTCTAGTTAAGCAAAAAGGTGTATATTTCATAGTACCCCTGTGGTAGCAATGAGCCTGAGGGAGAGTTTGTCCTTTTATACGGTTATCTATCCTCACTCCTGTAAATCTGTATTTACCTTCAGGGAATTTTATATTCCTGTATGATCCAAGGTTAAATGGTTTAAGCCTTTATTGGTCACAGTTCAAAGTCATGTTAAATGTGAATGCTGTAGATATTAATACTCTTTATATAGTGATTCTAACATATTTGGTTCAATTGAAATTGCATTTGTGGCATGACATTGTTCTTTACTTGAACAAGGCACACATACTTGCACACATATTTAACTCTAGGGCTGTAGTCTATTAATTGGTTTGTGGTGTCTTAGTCAGCTATAGTTTTTAATAGTCACTTGTTTTACAAAGATTTTAAGGCTTTATATGAACCACATGAGAAAGCATGGAGACAGGTGGCTGGAGATTTGGGAATGACAGAACACTTTAATCTGCCTTTTCACTTATGAAAATGTTATTTACTAGTACCTTTCTGTCTGCATATTGTGCATATACAGTACATTGTGTAATAATTGATAGAGCTAGGGCAACACCCCCTTTTAGTAAATGAGTCAACCACAGTCCAACTTAATTTTACTTTTCTATAGATTTACAAAAAAAATTAAACAGGGATGTGATTTTAACATTAATAGAAATAGAATATACAACACAAAGATGTTGAGAATCTTTCCACTAATTTTCCAGTTTTCCATATAATTTGGTAAAAATTTGACCAAATAATTTTTTAGCCAGTAGTACTATTTGCAAATCTTTTTTTTCCCCTATACTTGATTTGTATACTTACTATTTTTTCTTTTTCTTTCTTTTTTCTTTTTCTTTTTTTTTTTTTGGAAAGGGTTGTTCATCTGCCTTTTTAACCCTAACCTGGCTATGATAGTTGCCCAGAGTTTCACTGTAAAATCATCCATACACTGAGATAGCTGACAATAGAAGTTCTGTTGAAATGTGTTCTGTGTTTGATCAAAAGTGTTCTTGTGAGAATCATGCGTATTTAACGAGTTTAGAGCCATGCGTGGAGAATCAATTTCAACACAATGGAAAGTTAAAAGGGATTAAAGTGAGTGAGACGAGATAGCACACCCAAAACACTTAAAATAGCTGCAGAGATTACAGTAATGTAATCCAATTGAGAAAGCTTCCCCAAATATTTATTATTAAAGCACCATCTGTTTCCAGGCCTGCAGGGTCAGTCCAGTAGGCACATTTACTCCAGCACGCCCATACTGTTGTCCTATATTTTTCTCTTTCTTGTTGGGTACAAAGTTAGAGAATAACCCAATTTCCTCCTTTGTTCATACAAATCCCCCTTTTCGTTCAACAAATAAGGCACAGCAGTAGTGGTGCTTCACAGAAGCAGTTTTCAAAATAAAGGTCATATCTGCAGTTACTGAGAAAGTACTCATTTGTGGAGGATGTGTCTGACAAATAATGTAAATAATGCATGATTGAGTTTAATGAATTTGCTTCTGTTCTGAGGGCATTCAAGCAGTTTGTTGATACAAAATTCAATTGTAAAAAACAAACAAAAGTATTGTTAACAATAATACTCATCTACAAGTGACATTTAAAGAGACAAACTCCACCAGGTACAAAATTGGGTCTACCAGAACAAGAGGTTCAGATTTTGACATAATTATAGTGAAATCTATATTTTGTTCATATATATGTTTTGAATGTTATTGTTATAATAATCTATTTCTTATGACTAACCTTCAGTAAAAGCCATTGCTTTTACATCACACAGTTTTATCATTAAATTGCATATCTAATGTAAAGTAACTCATATTGAGGTAGATGGTGCCAATATAAAATCATCTTGGGATTTTGTGGCATTTTAAGTGGAAATATCTTGTCTCTACCCTAGACATTTAAGCATCATGTGAACAAGACAGAATGAATGAAGTGACAGCGTCATACAGGCAGATGAGCAGACATTGGAGCAGGGGAAATGTGTTTTCTATGATGCCAGTACTTACTCAGCAAGTGGCTAAATGGCCAGAAGGTTTCAGCTTTGAGTCTACCTAATAAAAGTCATAAATATCTTTGCAGAAAAACTTTATATATGAAAAACATTAATAAGTGCTAATATGAAAAAGGTTTGGGCACTCATGTGTTAGACTGAGTTGCAAAAGTCAAGTGAAGACACACATCAGCTCAATCTGGTCCCATGCAAGACAGAAGGAGGAGGAGCAGATTACTGGAGAGATAGAGCACTGCTGCTAAAGAGGACGACTTAATATTCACCACTGCTCCACACGGTCTTAACACCAGGTACCATGCAGTATCACACAGGGCACACTTGTACACTCACTTTGGCTTTAATGTGGAGGAGAACATCATCAGTCTATATTCACCCTATACAGCAAGGCACAAGTCACTTTAGTTTTGTGAGTAAATGCTGAAAAATCCAGAGACACAATTATTTGGATGTGCTGACCTCTGTGGGTGACTATTGGTACTACAGAGAACACACTGCCCCTATGAACACTCTGCACTACACACTCTTGCTGCATTAATTGCTGTTGGACTGTTAACTTACAAACAATAGCTCATTTCCAGGATGCCTTGAAGGCAAACAAAACATTGTTTTTTAAAAGAGAAGAATCCAATTAGCTGATATAAAGTGTGGCAGGGTAGAGTAATAGCCCACGGCACAGTGTAATTAGGACAGAGTTTACACAAGCTGCATACTATCATATCTTTATCCCTGTTATTGGCAGACCTTCTTCTTTTTTTCTGAGAAGGATTTACTTTGACTAAATCCAAATGTTGAACTGTCATCTGTGAGCTAAGATACACACACCGACACTGCAGATGGAGACAGACACAGATTAGTGACGATTTTCTTCATTTTATAAAAAAATCGAATGGCATAATTCTGAGGATAAACCTGCTCTCAGAGCAGTCTGCAGTGACCCATTCAGTCCCATTCACATAAAAGTGAATGACCTTCAGGCTTGTCTTATCTTAAGCAGTCTGTTTTAATCTGATCTGAAAAAGGTGTTGCATTAGTATTGGGATACAAATATGAAGCTTTTCTATTCTAGTGCAATAGCACACACCAGTTGAGAAGAAAATATAAACATATAAAGATTTGAACATAAAAAAGGAAAGCAAGCAGACAATCACAAACAAACTGATATAATAATAATATGTTCAGATATGCACATATTAATCTTCTGAGGCTTGTCCAGTAGAGGGCTTAGCACTGCAGCATGATTTGATTTTCTTGTAATGCTTCTTAAGGTCAGTTAGGGCCTTCTATACAGACATACAGGTTAATCTCACATGCTTAAAAAACATAAAACACAACAATAAATCATATTCTGGATATTTTTATGAGTGTTATTTATGTACAAACCCCCCCCGCCAAAAAAACGTATATTTTATTTGCATTTACTTGACATCCATCTGCGAGCCATACAGCTGCCTGCCATGGATGATGTGGTGTGTAGTCATTCAAGTGGCTGCTGGTATTTGTGTACTATCTATAGCCAATTCTAAATGCTGTTGCAGTGATGGCACACTGACCACAGGTTACATCATATTCATGTCCAGCTGAGCCTTGTGCTCACGTGAGGTGAAAGGATTGAGCCTTGGATTGTTTAAGGATTAGTCACTAGACTTACCTCATTCTGGACAGGTTCACATTGTTCCAGAGCCTCTAAGACTGCGCCAAGTCATAGTAATCTATATAATCTATATAAGCCCTAGTCTGCTGGTCTGTTCATGGATGGATGCTTATTATGACCCTCACACAGCCCACTGCCCTGCCATGATGCCACAGCCAACCGGTTGACTTTCTCTCTCTCTTTTCTGAAAAGAAAGAAGGCGTGTCTTTGTGGACAGATGTGGAGACCTCGGCTGTGTATAAATCATAACGTTTGCTCTCTCTCTCCACATTGCCTGTGTAATCATTTTGACTCTGTGCTTTATCCAGCTGAGCATTTGAACTGTCCATGACTAAGGTTCACACTTTGCTAAAGGATTTGCTACTGTGGCTGTAGTTGCCCTTGTCTTTGGGATAGTTTTGGAGCAGACTTCAAACTGGAGTTGCCGACAGCGACAGGCTGCTGGGATCAGCTGATCCAGCTTCAGCTGGGCAGCTCAGGTGACGGAGTGCCTTGTGAGTTTTACTGTTGCCTTTTACTTTTAGCAAGCCCTCATTCTCATTTCATCCCATTGTGACCTTCCAGTCTTTTTTTTTTTGCTCTAGTCACTGTATGTTTGAGTTTATACACAATGCATATTGTGAATGTTTTTGCTTCCAGGTGACACTGAGGAAGTGGAGATCCCCACTAAAGAGATAGAGGTGGTGAAAGGTCGAATGGTGATGCTGCAGGCCTGGTACAGCCCCAGTTTGGACATCAGTCCAGTTGTCGTCTGGACTTTTGAGACCAACAAGTCTACTCCGGTGAGAGCTCTCCTTTACACTGCATGTATGCTTTTTTAGACTGAGCTATACATAAATATTCTTTCAAACTAATATTATATTTGAACAGATTAGAAAAGTGTAATTGTTCAGAGATTAGGATTATTTTGCATGTATGGTTCAGCGGAAGGAAGTAAAGCAATATTATGTCCAAAAACGTCCCACTAATGACATCCCATCTGCCAATAGCTGCACATACATGTGTCACATTCTATAGGCGTGATTAATATAATCTTAGTTTCACCCTGCAATGCCTCTCTAACAACTCATCCACCATCTGTATGGATATAGATTACTGTTGATTGCAGTTATGTGAGTAATCTGTATGTTTTAATATTATAGAACTGTATGTAAAGCAAACTAACTATGGTTTATAAAAATGAAAAATGCTTTATCAAAAGGAAAATCATGTACTCTCCTTTGTGTTTTGCAAATTATAGGTAATCAACTTTAGCTCAGGTAAGGTCGGTTATGGCCAAAATGTATTCACCAAAAGAGTGGGCTTCACTGCAACGATGCCCTCAGCAAACCTCTCCATCTATATCAACAACACACAAGAATCAGACAGCGGGCGTTATGTGTGCCAAGTGGTCGTCCCAGGAGGAGATTTTATTTCAGGACAGCTGAGCCTAAATGTCAAAGGTAAAAACCACTGCATTGGAAATATTTCAAAGGTTAAACTACAATGACTGTGTGGTTATTTGGATATGTTCATAAATACACATTTTGAACTCATAGCAGTTTATCAGTCAATCAAATATCTATACTCTAGCTATATACCTAACCAACAGCCAACATAACTTGCCCCTTAATAAAGTTTGTAATACAGCTATTATAAAGCTATCTAATAAAGCCATTTTCTTACTTCAGGCTTGAATTTAATTGGTTACATGATGCCATGATGGTGACAGGATGAAAAGATCTCCATCATCATTGGTGTCACTCTTACATAGACTCTTGGGTTTTTTCAGATTTTGAATAAGAAGTAGGTCCTATGATTAGTGCTCATGCAAAGAAACACTCCTTTAGCACCAGATTAAAGCCTTGTGTACAAGTTAACAAGAGGGTCATTGCTTCTTCTTATTAAAAAAAAAAAAACAGTCTGTTGACCTGTATCTGTGTCTACCCACAGTCCCACCGTCGCCCCCTGTTTGCACCATGACAGGAAACCCTGTGGTGAGGGGGAACGTGACACTGAGCTGTACATCCAGTCAAGGGAAGCCTCCTCCTCAATACAAATGGACCAAGGCTGCACCAGTGTCTGAGGTCTTCTTTTCACCAATGCAAAGTAAGTCTCATAAACTTTTCATCAGACTGAATAGCTGCAAGGTCAAGCCTATTCAAAGTTTAGAAAAGTCAATAATACCATATGTAAAAACTGAACATGCCAAGCAAGCTTGAAATTAATAAACAAAAATACTGGTATGGACTCTCATTTAAAACAAAATGCAGATAAAACATAAATATTATTTTTAAACAGAGATCTTTCATAATTTCGTAAAAAAGCTCATAATGATGAGAAAAGATGATAAAATGCTTTCTATAGAGTAATTTTGCGGCAACCATTTCATCATTTTGTATATTCAGTGTTTTAATTAATGGTAAACAAATAACAACTGATCCGACGTCTCTTGTGTACTAGATAACCCAAACGAGTGTAAATGAAGCCAGCCACTGACCTTTGACCTCACATGCAGATGAACCCTTGTCTGTGCCCTGGGGTCATACATAGACAGATTTCTTGATAGACGCTTCAATTGGACACTCTGAGTCTGTGTCAGGCTGTCATGTCAGAGTGTCAAATCCTCTTTACAGATCCACTCAGCCCATCCACTGCTGACCACTAACCACAAGTTAACCAAGAAGAATTATCATGTCTCTGCATCCTTAGTCAGATTACAAGCACTAAAATGTAAGATTGTCTTCACTTTCACTATTATTTTTAAAAGTTTATTTATATGTTACCACATATTACAGTCATATGATTAATAGGAGCCAAATAAAATACTGGAATAAGGAGAATTGGTGATGCTATAGATAAGATATGTTGTGAATGAATTGTGACAGTACTTGGCAATGACACTACAAAGAACCATCTGCCTCTCAACAACATGATTTAAAGTGATTGATTTTGTATTGACTTCACTGCTTTGATATATTTAAAACACAAAAGGTATTATGTCAGGAAACATTACTTGCTCTGAGTGTAAGATCTTAGATCTGCCACCTCTGCCAGTGTGATGTTGGCAATTAAACTTCACTGGGCTACCACTGCGTGGGGGGGCTGAAAAAGGTAATACATAAAAGTTTTGGTATAACTTAAAAGGAATCCATATAAACAGTTTTGAGCATATTTGGATTATTTGCAGTGTCTGAACTCTAAACTGACTTTAACATGTGTCTAGTCAGCCTAGTCCAAGGTTGTCCAAACTTTTTCATCAAGGGACACATATCAAAACATGGACGAAGTACATGGAGGGCCATATATATATATATATATATATATATATATATATATATATATATATATATATATATAGCGCATTTTTAACTTGTTAGATTGAACCAGCAGATCTCTATTCAAGCTTAAATCCTCAGAAGTACATACTAAATATTGGCTTTACCAAAGTAGTTAAAAAAAATTGCAGTAAAGAGTACTGCGTAAGACTAACCACTGACTAGTTGACTATAATAATCATTAGCTAGAGCTCTAGTGGTGATATTGATTGACACGTTATAGAACTTAATATTAGAGTAACAATAACTTGACAGATAAATGGTCAGTTTCAGCATTCTCTCTGTGTCTCTGCTGATCCTCTGCTTTCCATTCATTTCCTTTTACCCTTGGTGCCTAATCCAGCAAATGACAGTGTCATAACTTCAGTTGAATTTGGAACTTTCTGAACTGGTCTCTCTTCCATGCCATGTTTTCCTTCTACACTCTCTCACATTCACTGTCTGTGCCATCTTTCCTCCCGCACAAATATACCAGAATGGAGATCGTGCCCGCAGCCCTTGCTTGTCCTTGGGTTCATGGGTAAGGGCTTTCACTCATATCCCCTCACAGGCCATACCAGCTGTACCTGCAGACCCCCACACCCCCAGTAGTTACCACTAATTAGTCAAGTACCATTAGACCTGTAGGAAAAAGTTAAAGAAAAAACTCAACCCAGTATGTGAAAGCAGTTGCTGATTACTAATTAATATTGTCACCTGCAATAGAAAAGCTGCAGGTATAAACCACTTAACCTTAAATGTCCACATTAATATTGATTAATGAAAACCATTTCTTTTTACACATTCAGCAAAAAATAACATATGATAATAGAAGATCATTAAACAAATACATCTGATAAATGATATAATGTATAAAGGGTTGAGTTTTTTATCATTTAAAATGTATACCATACTGTATTTGACTTGCCACCCACTGTCCATTCATTTTATGGTTTCTATTTTTAGACCCATAGTACGGTTAACATATAGCCGCTCAGATGTTCATCTGGGCATCTGTTCCTTGTCAGGATTAAAAGGCTTGTCTTATCAAGTTCAAATGGTTGGCATTTTCAATTCAATTAGTAAGACTTTGTTTTCCTAGCAGGTTGGTTAATTGATACTAAAAAACAAAACAGTCTAACTGGTTTAATTTTTAAATACATTAAATGAGTGAAAGTAGAAACATATATACTGCACACTCAGTAATACAGTAGGTTATTATGTATATTAAACATTGTCAAAACCCTTACTTAAAATTGTGAATGAACAAGATTTTTGTTATAGTCAGTGGTATTTTCTACCAAGTGTAATATATGGTTGACACTATTAATAGACATATATGGAGAGGCTCTCTGCATGTGCGTGTGTGAAAATTGAGCTGATTTACATTCAGCACATGTGAGATTTCATGGCTTTGATGAATGCCGCTCATTGACCTTGCAGTAATGGCAGCATCATATGAGTAATGCTCCACCCCAGCACCTAAACCACGTCAGCCCCCTCTGGCCCTCATCGCTGTGAGGCTTGAACTCCCTCCAAGCTCTCAGTCCACGAACATGTGGCTAATCCTACAAAACTGGGTTTGGTTTCTCACAGCTGGTTTTCAAGCTTGGTTATTACACTATATCAACATACAGGTGCTGGCTATACTTATTAAGGTTTATAAATTCATTGTAAGACACGTTTTTATTGATGTTTATTGTATCTACCAAATACCTATGCTAGTGTGTGTGACTTGTGTGACTTAATCTTGGTCCCAACACTGTAGCAGATGGTACACACAATACAGACCACGGTGGAACCACAGACTTTGGGATAAATACAGCTGTGAGGATTATATTTTTTTATTATAAATTTTTCTGATCCAATACAGAAATATGTTTTGGTTTTTTTTAGCTTTTAATCTTGAACTCTTAATATTGTTTTGATTGCATTATTTGTGTCTGCTTCAATATCAGTGAACAAGCTTGAAAATGAATCAAAAAACACCTTCCTTAGCAATGCATTATAGGGCTCAGAACAAAATACATACCATAGCTATTTCCCCTGTGTCCATGAAAGCAAAATGACACCCGATGAAATCATATTGCGATGTGATATCTGAAATTGGATTGCAAAGGATTTGTGGAGATAAGTCTCTCATAAAGCTTGTTTATTTCCCTACAATCTGTGTTGCAACAAACAGCATTTAAGAAGTGCAAAGAGGAATTGATTGTGTTTGATGGTAATACCCAGTTGAAACCACAGTAATAATGGCCACACACATTATCCGTGTCATGACCTCTGAAGTGAGAAAAGATTAAAGTAAAGTGAACGTGTGGGATCATCCTGAAGGAGGGCGCTGGTACAACCAGTGTACACTGCAAAAAGAAAAGGGTCCAGCAAAAGACTGATTTCTCTTGAAAGCAGCTGCTGTTGATAGATTAACAAATTTAACCTTCTGTACATTTGTATGCTATGTGTTACTGTGTATTCATTTATGCAGAATATCACAGAAATACATTTGAATATTGTTCAAAAGTTTTATTTCAATTTATATGCTGGTAAACTTGAATGCAAATATGAAACACACAGTAAATGTTTTGTGGGTAATCTTGAGATAGTGACAGTTATAATACATAAAAATACTGTGTCCTTTTTTGCAGATGAACGACAGGGCACCCTCCGCCTCAGTAACCTCACCAAAAGCATGTCAGGGAAGTACGTGTGCAGAGCCAGCAACACGGCTGGTTCAGACACCTGCTCCATTAACCTTGAGGTCATCACCTGTACGTACTTACCTAGTATAGTATTTTCTAGTACATTTTATTACAAACTTCAGATTCAAGTCTATTTGTTAAAAGGTTTGTGTTATTTCAAGCCTCAAATGCAGGCATGATCGCTGCAGCCACTCTGGGCTCCATTGTGGGACTGGTGGCCATGGTGCTGTTTCTCATATTTGTCCTGAGAAGAAGAGGGGACACTGAAGAGGAGACAGCCAATGAGATCAAGTATGGGTGTTCTTAACCTTTGTTGTATTTAAAGGCCAAGTGATAAAATACATATTAGTTAACAAACATAGTCAGTTACAGCTTAGAGGTTGTTGTTGATGCTGCTATTATTATTATTATTATTATGCTATTATTATTATTCACTGTATATCCTATGTATTTGAGTGAGTGCACTCTAATCAGGCTTTCTTTCTTGTACAGAGAGGATGCTCAGGCACCAAAGCGTGTCTCTTGGGCTAAGAGCACCACAGGATCAGACATCATGTCTAAAAACGGCACACTTTCATCTATAGCCACCAGCCCTCGACCACGAGACCCTCCAAACTTTCACTACCCCTATTCCCCAATGCCAGCCTCAGACAGTGGCTCTGTCATTAACGCCTACCAACTACGGCCTGGAGAGGCTTGCACCTTACAGGGACTTCCAGGGTACAACATTGGAGGCACTGCTCCTCGAAAACCTAAGCCACCCCCTACAACAAATGGTGCTCCCCCATACATGATGCGGAGTCCAGGAAATGGCGCCCCTAGCGGGCCAGAGGGAGCGCAACCACAAGTCCCACCCCCAGTCACTTTATCTCCCCAGATGAGCTCAACCACCATGACACGCATGGGAGCTGTAGCAGTGATGGTGCCTGCTCAATGCCAAGCGGGCTCTCTAGTGTAGCCGGCAATAGTACTGAGGCTAAAGGACAGTCGCTAAACAGGAAGAAGAATGCCTTGAAATGGAAAGCACCTTTTCAGTGAAGATGGAGGACATAATAGTTTATGCTTTTGAACATGTGACAATTCAGCTCGTTACTCTTCAGACTGTGCTTCAATTTAGTAGTTTCATTTTCTACTCTGCAATTTTATTCCAGAGAAATATTTTTCAAATGACATTCGACAGCTTTTAGGAGAACAAGCTTTTTGAAATTTGGTTACACAATGCATAAATACAAGAACATTTTTAAGCTGAAGACTTCACAGGTTAAAATGTTATTGTGATTTACTTTAGTAGGCATTAGTTAAGATACAACTGTGCTAATGGGTTCACATTTACTCTCTTCTCAGGCTCTCTGCACTAAACAATTCAGGGTAACCACTATTTTTCTGTTCAGGCTCAGACTTTTTGTGTGAGAAATGCATAAGGATTATAGGCTATTTGGCTGATAAATGGCTTTGAATTGAAATTAACTTGTTGCAGGCCCTTAGTATGATTTGACCTGATTACTGTAAGCAACAGCTACCCTACATGTTTTTTACATTTACCTACCTAATGTTTGCTGGTCTGTTTATTTAATTTCTATTATTGTTTGTGGGGCAAATATTTTTTGAATACAGTACATGTAGCACTGATACAGTTGAGTTCTTGATATTTTTTAATAAACTTTATTTTTTAAAGATCTGCATCTGTTTCATTAAGCTGTTTGCAATTGATTGCACTCAGGAAAACCAATAATGTACTTTTTTAAATATATTTTTGCAGTGACAAAGTAAAATACATAAAAACCCATAAACATCTCTAAGAAAAGACACTACAAAAGTATAACCAGTAACACTACAGTGATCATGACAACATTGTAAAGGACACTTGAGGAGTGTGAACATCCATTTAAACATTTTAAAGGAAACTGTTTCCATTAGCAGCTTTTCCAAAAGGATGTAATAGTAACATGATTTGACAGAAAACCTTCACCGAAGAAATATAGTACTGAAAGTTAAGGTGAAGAACACTATCAAGATTCTGACAATAAATTTCTGGAAATAATCATCCTCATTACTTCATTTGTACCTAAACAAAATAAAATAAAAAATGTACTTAAAGACAATTTTGTGAGAACATTGGTGTACTACATATGACTATGTAACTCACCCTCCAGGATCTGGTGAGCTCTAATGTCACGGACAAACTGCTGAACGGGGTAGTCCTTAAGGTAGCCATAACCACCATACATCTGAAGGGCCTGGTTGCAGATCTGTACATGTAGAATAGAGGTAAGACATGTCCTCATTCTAATAACTAAATATGAAATTATTATTGTAACTCACAGAAAAGCATTCATCTGTAGCAAAAAGTTTGGCCATGGAACAAAGAGAAACTGCATCAGAGCGTCCCTCCTGAAGAGCTTTGGCTGCTTCTCGCACCATTAGTCGAGATGCTACGAGTTTTGTAGCCATTTCTGCTAGACGGAACTGAAGATACTAGGCACACATGTACACTATTAACACTGATGTTGTAATTTTTATGTAAATGCATAAAAGTAATTCATTGGTTTAGGTAAATAAAAAAATTACCTGGTTGTTGGACAATGTTTCTCCAAACTGCTTGCGAACTAACAGGTGCTCTCTTGCTAACAACAATGATGCATGTGCAGCTCCAAGTGAACAAGATGCTGTAGAATGAGTTTATTTGTAAAAATTCTCATTGAAAATGTAAAACTGTGACATTTAATGATCAAATAAAGAAGAGAACCATTTAAATAAAAAGGTTTCACACACCTACATTAATCCTGCCTCCATTCAAGCCTTTCATGGCAATATTAAAGCCTTGCCCTTCTTCGCCGAGCCGGTTGGACACAGGTACAGCACAATCCTCAAATATTACTGCCCTGGTTGGCTGCGAGTTCCAGCCCAACTGTAACGGAGTCCACAGATTAACATAACTAGTCTACTGGCGCCATCTAGTGGCTATCAGCAAACGTGTATGAACAGAGACAAGCCAGGACAAAAGGCCAGACAAGATACACATGGCTAAGATAAAACGGTTATCTTTACCTTGGATTCCTTTTTGCCAAAGCTGAGACCTGGGGATCCCTTTTCCACCACCACACATGAAATACCTTTAGGCCCTTTGCCCCCTGTCCTGCACATCACGACATAGACATCGGTATCTCCACCTCCACTGATGAAAGCCTACAAAACGTAAAAAAACATACCATAAAGCAAACATTACCACAATGTGCCAAAAACAAAAACTGACAGGCGAAGATCTTAAACCTTAGACCCATTCAATATGTAATGGTCTCCATTACGCCGTGCAGTTGTCAGGAGGGACGCAGCATCACTGCCACTGCCTGTAAAACAAAACATACATTTAACTGCCCATCACCTTTTGAACTCTTCTTTAGCACAAAGCTTAAATCAAACCTGGTTCAGTGAGACAATATGAAGCAAATTTCTCCATTGCACAGAGGTCAGGACAATACTTGTCTCTTTGTTCGTTGTTACCAAAAGTGTCTATCATCCATGCACACATACTATAAAAGAGAAATCACACAATATAGGTTAACATTTTGACGAGATGTGTCAAAAATATTTTAAATTAATTATTAGCCATGTAATTGATTGGTACTTGTGGATACTGATGTAAGCTGTAGTGCTGACACATCCTGTGGATAAAGCCTCAAAAATAACAGATGTGTCAAGCCGAGAAAGGCCTGATCCCCCAACATCTGGCTGAACATAAATGCCCCCAAACCCCAACTGGGCTGCTTTTCTCAAAGTTTCCACAGGAAAGATTTCCTACAAGCAAGACACCAAATAGAAATACTTTAATTTATTTATGACTGGAGCCACAATAGCCTACTGATGAAAACTAACCTTTTGGTCCCATTCTGCCATGTGCGGTGCCATTTCATTGGCTGCAAAGTCAAAAGCGACTTTCTGAAACTCCTTCTGTTCATCTGTAAGTCCATGAGAAGCTGAGGAAATAAACATCATCATTTGACAGAATCTCATGGAATGCTTTTCAACACCATAGATACAGGACAGAAACTGAGCTAGGGGGCGGTTTTAAAAAGGGGAGTATAGCTCTCTGTGGCCCAGGACTGGAGGACACAGACTGACCAATAGGTGAGTAGTGCATGTATTCAAAGCACATCTCTATTACATTTCTTTATAATCTATAGGCATGCATGCTAGCCAATGATGTGGTTACTTTCATAGATGGCCATTCGATTTTAGAGAAATATCACAATGTATGTTAGCTCATACGGTTTTGTAACATAGTAGCATAGTTGGATATTTAGTAGTCTATCAAGGGCACATCAAACATTGAAACGGCACTTACGGTCTATGCTTGAAGCTATTCCTCTGGTGGGACAGCTTCTGTTCAAAATAATACGGTGGCTCTTGCAGATGGAGGTACCCCATCTAGTTATTCTCGCTAGAGGAGCCAAGGCTGCCATGTTTACCTTCAAAGAGAAAAATGTACGTTGTACGTCATTACGTAGCCGCTAGTACTGATGGGTAATGTCGTTTTTGGGGCTTTGCTCTAAAGGAGGGAAACCGAACGATACCCATGTAACTAATAAGCACCTGCACGTAACAGCGCTTTTCTAAAGCCTCAGGTCTACAACTGAATTTGGACAAATGCGAGCTATTGGCTCTAAAGGATCATCCAAAGCAATCATTATATAATATAAAAGTGAAGAAAGAGGTGAAATATTTAGGGATAGTCATATCAAGAGACAAACAAGTTTCAGACAAAATAAACGTATGTGATGATGTTGACAAATGTAAACGTACTTTAAACAGATGGCTGCAAAGAGATATAACAGTTTTGGTTGGATACTATTAACCAAAATACAGTCTCTCTAGATTAATTTACCGAGCATATTCCCTCACCATTTCAAACAGGATGATCAAATGAATCAACAGCATTCATTTTAACTTCATTTGGAAAAATAAATGTCATTACATTGGAAAAGACGACCTAATCAAACCATACGAGGAGGGAGGTGGAAAAGCAATAGATTTCGTCATTATGAATGAAGTTTTGAAACTCAAATGGCTGAAGTCACTCTATTTGGTATTACATTTTTTCCCTATCTAATCTTCAGTAAGATTAGTGGTATCAACTTTATGTTAAAATGTGATTTTGAGTTAAACAAATTACTGGTGAAACGTTCAACTTTTCACCAACAGGTCCTCCTTTACTGGAAATTAATTTTTAAACATAATAGTTTAGTGTGGAATAACAGGTACATATTGGTTAACACAAAATATATTTTAATTGAGGAATGGTATGCTAAAGGAGTATGGGCTGTAGCCACTCACTTGGATGATGAATGACTTGTTTTACAACATTCTGATTTCTGTCAGAAATTTCAAATTCAGTGTACCAAAAGAAAATATAATCAAGTTATAAAAGCTATCCCAATACAGATTAGAACTATGGCTACACAGCAAATTCAAGAGTTTGCGAGTATGAGTTAATATACGAGTTAATTTTAACACTTTTACCATGTCATATGGGCTCCACAATAAAATTAGTTAAAACTACACTTTCCAAAGTGTAGAAGGCTCAACACTGGTAAAGTGATGTAACCACACTACCCATAGTTGAATTTGACACTGATTAAGATTTGATTTTTTACACTAGTGTATAGTGAAAAACTAATAACTCTTTGCTATGTTTTAACACTTTATGAAGTAGAAATAGTGTAGTGTTCTTCATGTTACACTATTCAATAGTAACTCTTTCTTCACTAAATACAGTGTAAATGTTGTGGTCATTCTAGTTCATAATCCCTTTTCCAAATGTTAAATAATGAAAACCACCACAAAATTCCATTTCAGCTTAACTTGTATTAAAACAATGCACATCATACAATCAACTCAATTTAAACAAGTCATATGACACAATACTATTTTTGCAAACTCCAACTGACAGCAGGAATTCTCGGTGCCCTCAACAGTTGGTCAAAATGATTGCCTTTTTTTTTTTTTTTTTTTTAAAGTTGATTTTTCAATGCAAGCAGCCGATGGATGAATCAAGATCAAGAGAATTCAGGCATGCTCATCTCCAAAAATGAGAGGAGCATGTCTGACTGTTTGAAACAAGATCTTCTCTCCATTATATAAACTTAATGTTCACAATAGAGGCAGTCCTGCTAATTGTGAAACATTAACATTGCAGAAACTTTTTACCTCAAGAGTCAGTCTTTCACTCGGGGTTTCTTTTGACACATCCAACATCCATGTTGTAGACAGTTCTTTGAATACAGGGGTAAAGTTTGTGAGAGTCTGAGGACCAAGTGCCTTGAAGTGTTCACCAAATATAGCCAGGTCAACAATGACATAAAAAACCTTGGTCCTTCCCACTTCGGTCACAGGTAGAAAAGCCGTCAAGGCTCAACCAGCAAGAAATGTGTACATACCGATCTGTAAAATAAAATATAGAATAGAATAAATATAACATATTCAAGTAACCACCTTGCAAAACAGGCTATGCAATATTTAATGAGCCATGAATAAAAATTTAAAAGTAAATATATAGTAAATATATTATGGTGCATATAGCATTATTTGTTTGTTCGAAGTTCGAAAATAGACCATTTTATGACAGTGCGCCTTATAATTCAGAGCACCCAATAGCCCGGAAAATACGGTATTTTAAAATCCAAGACCCAATGCAATTAAGGCAACTACTAAGCACATATATAAAATTCAATTAGTCAATTACAAAATTATTGGTGAGGTTACATTTCAGTTCTACATTTAACCATTTCATGACATACCTGCAAATCTCTGATGAGATGGTTAATGCTTTGAGCCTTCATCTTTCCACTGTAGCCTTTAGGAGCTGGGGATGCATGTGAACCAGCAGCAAGACACTCACTCTAAAGAAAATACAAAAAAAAGAGAATGTATCATTAGTCTTTTTGACTAAAGGTCAACAGCATGTTAAGACATATCGGGTAAGACATCATACTTGAAGATTTTATTTTTACAGAATACTACTAACCTTTTGATTAGAATAATTTTAATAACTCTCCACTTGGTACAATATCCTATCTCAGCACACCACACAAAAGTGTGCACGTTTATAAGCAATTATTAAAAGTAATTTGAATACAGCAAATGAATGCAGCCCCTACGACGGAGTATAAGGGTCAGATAAAAAAAAAAAATGCTGGCGCTACGAGAATAAAGTCGTAAAATTTCGACATTAAAGTCGTAATATTATGAGAATAAAGTCGAAGCCAGACAAAGTCGTAATTTTACGAGAATAAACTCGTAATTTTACGAGAATAAAGTTGAAGTTAAATTAAAGTCGTAATATTATGAGAATAAAGTTATAATATTACGAGAATGAAGTCGTAATAAAATCAAATTCAAAGTGAAAAATGCGGCAGAAGAAGAACCTTGTTTTTCAATATAAAACTAAAAATAAGAAAACGAACAACAATTTTCTTCATTATTTGCGCCTCCGAACTGAACCAGGACTGAACCAGGGCTAAACCAGGACTGAACCAGGACTAAACCAGGACTAAACGAGGTCCGAGACCAGACCGGGACTGAGACCAGAACTTAGACAAGGACTGAGTCAGGGACCAAGACTGAGACCTGGATCAGACAAGAACTGAAAACGGTTTAGTCCTGGTTCAGTCCGTATGCGGCGCAATAGTCCCGCATCGCATTTAAAAGTCACGTAAACGCCATTTCCCATTTCCGTGACTTAAACCATGACTAAACTAGGATTAAATCATTTTCAGTCCTGGTCTGGTCCCGGTCTCAATCCTGGTCTTTCTGGTTTGGTTCCAGACTTCATTTAGTCCTGATTTAGTCCTTGTTCAGTCGAATGAACGAATGATACATGGATTTTTCTCCTTTAGAAAATGCTCCAAATTCTCCATTCTCCACTCGTTCATACTTTCCGAGCAGCCTATATTCTGTAATATTATGACTTTATTTTGACTACGACTTTATTCTCATAAAATTACTACTTTATTCTTGTAAGTTTACGACTTTATTCTCGTAAATTACGACTTTTTCTGGCTTCGACTTTATTCTCATAATATTACGACTTTAATGTCAAAATGTTACGACTTTATTCTCGTAGCGCCAGCATGTTTTTTTTTTATTTTTATCTGACCCTTATACTCCGTCGTAAGCCCCAAAGTATGAGTATACAGCTCAGAATTTAAAAAAAAATGCGCTACGAGAATAAAGTCGTAACATTTCGACATTAAAGTCATAATATTACGAGAATAAAGTCGAAGCCAGAAAAGGTTGTAATTTTACGAGAATAAAGTCATAATTTTACAAGAAAAAAGTAATAATTTTACGAGAATAAAGTCGTATTTTTACGAGAACAAAGTAGTAATTTTATGAGAATGAAGTCGTTTGGAAATGGGGAATCAGTACCGGGTGCAGGCAGACAGGTCCGTGTAAGGGCATTTGGAGCTGGACAACGTGAGATCGTGGACCCGCTGTTTGCGGTCTCCTCCAGACGGAACAGAGGCAGAGCGGGACTCACCTGGTTTAGGCGTGTTGTGTTGTGCCCTCATTTTATTATTTGTATTATGATAGAGACTTATGATTTAACCAATGGTGTGTAAGAACACTTGATCACGTGAGGCACAAAATTATGAATGGCCTGCACCTGTGAATAAAAGTGTGTGCCCGTGGAGAATGGGGTAACCACACAAAAAGAGAATACGAAGTGTACTGTGTTTTAATGCTCACGACAACGCTGCGTAAAAGGGACCCTGCTAACAGGTTATGGGCCCAGAGTCATTTTACGCAGTTTGAGGAGCGGTCTCCAGGTGAATGTCGCGACGGTAAATGCGTGCACCTGAGTTCAGCCATTGACCGCAAACATGAGTAAAAACACAGAAAAGGACACTGTGCCAAGCCGCTGGGGCAGACTCCTATTTAATGGCGATGAAAAAGGATACGAGCTGTGGGAGACAAAGTTTTTGGGCCACCTCCGTCTCCAAGAATTGAAGGACACTATTTTACAATCACCTGGTCCTGACGACGAAGATGATGACGAGAAGAATGCTGAGGCCTATGTGGAGCTTATCCAGTTCCTGGATGACAAGAGCCTGTCGCTGGTAATGCGCGAGGCGGTGGATGATGGACGCGAGGCGCTGAGGATTCTCCGGGAATATTACGCTGGCAAAGGGAAGCCCAGAGTGATAAACTTGTACACTGAATTAACGTCTCTACAAAAGTCACCGATGGAAAATGTCACTGAGTATGTAATCAGAGCAGAGACTGCGATTACTGCGTTGCGAAGCGCAGGTGAGGCGCTCAGTGACGGACTTTTGATAGCAATGGTTTTAAAGGGCTACCAGAGACATTTAAACCATTTGCCATTCATGTTTCTCAGAGTGAAGATAAAATGACTTTTGCGGAGTTTAAGACAAAGCTCCGGAGTTATGAGGACATTGAAAATATGCGTGCAACTGTGTCTGAGGACAACGTG